AGCAGCGCAGCCTCCTAACTGACCCGCAGTGGGCACCAACTGGCCCCCCTAAGCCAAGGAGACCCAGGCGGAGCGCAGGCTCGGGAGACAGCTTACAGCTTTGGAGGAAGAGGGGTCGGGGACCATTGGAACATTTAATTTTTAATCTCCTCGCCTATAGCTAATGAAACCGAAGAGCAGCGACGGGTTCAGTGCCCCAGAACTGGCCGGTAACTGAACTGGATGTCACACAGGTCTCCTGTTTCCTGTCTCTGTGACTCTCCCTCGGTCTGTTTTCCAACGTCCTGGATGAACCATCTGAGGTCTTACAGGGCAACTTTGTGAATTTCATTTTGCGGTGGCAGGTTAGCGTTAGCTTGTAGGTGCTGGGAGATGCCAGCCAGTGAGCTGTGCTCTTAGCATGTGCCTAGTCCGATGCCTTTCATCATGAAAGCTGCCCCAAGCTAGATGGGCAGAGAAGAGGCAATATAATTGCCCGAGAGCTCTAAGTTTCATGACACACGCTGTGTTAATGAAACAAACGCCGGCTGGCAGATGATTCCTTTCTCCTGAGTGGTTTATTCAGAGTTAAAAATAAGTTGGGAAGGAAAAATTTCATTTTTTTCAATCTTTAATTGCCATAGCCATTTAGGAGGCAAGAATAATGAGGCCACAGGACAAGAAACGGGGAGACGGGCGTTTCATTCTGCCTGAACTGTGCTCAGAGCTGCTAGGATTTGGTGCAGTGAGTTACTGGGTAAAGCATGGCTACACAGGAACCCTTCTTCCTAGTTTTTATTTGTAAAACTAATATCTTTAAAAATACTTACTCTCACGCTCATAGTCACATTTCTCCCGGGTAGGTAGGATGAGCGGGGGTATCTGTATCCACGTTTAACAGTACGGATGAGAAACGTATGGGACCTACAAATGATGCACATTTCTCAAGTTCCTATTTCCAGAAAAATTCAGGGATTAAATTCAGGTTTTTTGACTTCCAGTTCAGTTTCTTTCTCTGGACATGTTCTTTTAGTTTACCATTAAAATAAAGGTTCCTCTTTAGTCATTTTCTTCTTCTAACAGTCACTGTCTGTTTTGGGTACAGGACTTATTCTTGTGCTGATCAGCATCCTTACTCTTCATAGCATTGCACACAAGTCCTTGAGCATAACAAGCACTGGGTAAATGTTTCTAAGAATTAAGAACATGTGAAGCACCTTTAGAGGACCGACATTATTTCAGGTAGGACGATGGGGTGTTATACATCGTGTTCTATCCCTGCCCCTGGATCACTGTTTAAGAGCTTCTGATCTAATTAGCAGATACCTGTCTGAAGGCCTGCATCCAATCTACACCGTCGTCACAGAGCTTTTAGCTTACAACACGGGTCTCTGTTCCTTCGTTACAGACAAGACGTGGTATCTCTAACTACATTTCCATTTTATACTTCTTGGATGGTAAGCAATTGTTTTAAAGAACCAGCATGGTTCTGAGCTCTTTACATAGGTAAGCTTTTATAACCTCATAATCCATGCACTTGGTGCTATCCTAATGCTCATTTTTACACACGAAGAAACTGAGGCTTCAAAAGATTAAAGTACCTGACCCAAGGTCTTGCAGCTAAGCGACAGAGGCAGCCAAAAACTTAGGCGTGTCTGACTCCAGAATCTAAACTATTATTACTACCACACTGTATTTGACCTACAGCTTTTTGACTCTCACAGCCAAATTTTCCAAGTTTTCTAAAATCCTTCCCATTCTAGACAGTAATTTCACCTAGTCCCCGCCAGTGGAGACGATGTTCTGTCCCACTAAAATAAAAATTCACTCGAAGGAAACTCCTTTTTGTAGACCTCACTTTGTCCCAGTGCTGGGATTGCTGCTTCAAGTTGTGATGTATTCCCAGCACCCGTGTTTGAAGTTTGTAAAACGGCACTTGCATTTATCATTCGGTTTGTATGCCCAGCCACCTGCATGCTTTCCTGTGCATCCCCAAAGTCGGGCAAAGGAAAAGCATTTCTCAGATGACCTTAAGAGAGACTCCAGACTACTGGCCCACGCGTGTTAATGAGTGACTGGCGGCCAGGTTTGCTAATTGACCACAACCTCCCGCTGAAGCACCACCCGGGCAGGGGTGTGTGTGTGTGTGTGTGTGTGTGTGTGTGTGCATGTGTGTGTGTGTGGGGGGGCAACAAAGGTGCTGGCTTTTAAACTTTTCCCTTTGCTGTTATTCAGCAAGGATTGAGAATCTACCAAATCAGAGAATGCCAGGTAGGAAGGGACCGAACTGACAAATCAACTCCCTCCTTTCCAGAGACCACTGGGGTCCCAAGTGAGGGAAGCCCCCCTAAACATGCTGTCTGGCCTTCATCAAGTAATTCCACCACTGATGATGAGGACGTCAGGAGGGGCTGCAAGCGCCAGGAGGGGAAAGGCCGCCTGTTTACAGAGGAAACCGAAGGGAGGTTACTTGGGTCTCCATCCGTTGCTGTTTGTTAGCGCGGCACCCGGGCCAGCTCAGTTTCCTGGCTTGGCTGAGGCTGGTGGCGGTTCCTGTCCCGGCGGGTTGCGGGGACTGGGTTGGCATCCCTATAGAGCAAGTAGGTCCCATTAGTCAACACTCCATTTTGTGTGTTTGGTTTCCCAACGTCAACTGGGGTCTGAAAGATGTCAGGTGCTGTCACATACCCGGAGAGCAGGCGACACCCCCCCAAGGTACACAGTACCCATGTTCTACTCTGTCATCACTGAGTCACCTGCCTGCACTGTGACATGAAACTCATCGTAGGTACGTGCGTGGAAGAACCGTTTATGCAGGGCCGGGGACCTGAGCTTCAGGCGCCCCACGGGGCGTCTTGGGACACACTCCGGGAAAGTTCAGGTGACTGCTCTGGAAGCAGTAAGGCAGCAGAGCAAGAGGCGAAACCCCTGCCTCCAAGAGTTACCGCTCCCCCAAATTCCAGACTGTTCAATCACTGAACTTTGAGTTTCCCTGCCAGTCTCCGCCAGCGGTTCTCCCCGAGTCTGCTGACCCCAAGCGGACACCTGCTGACCCCAAGCGGACACCTGCTGACCCTGACACCTGCCAAGCCTAAGCTGACACCTGCCGACACCTGCCGACCCCAAGCTGACACCTGCTGACCCTGACACCTGCCGACCCCTAGCTGACACCTGCATTTTCCAGGAACTCGAAGGGCTGCCGTGTCTTAGGCGCCGCAGGGGAGTGGGCGCGCGTGAGCCGGGCCGGCGCGAGCGCGGGGGCGGGGGGCAGCGGCCTCCCCCCACCCCCGCAAGCGGCGCCCCGAGCCCGGCAGGTGCGGCGCCTGCTCCCCGCGGGCGCCGCGTCCCGGCCTGAGGGCCCCGGGGCCGGGGGCGACGGGCACGGAGAACGCGAGCCGGCTCAGGCCCGGACCTCTCCGCGGCGACCCCGGGGCCGGCGCCCGCTCCTGGGGTCCCTTTTAGGGGGGAGGTCCCCGGGGGCGCCCGGCGCTGTCCGGCTCCCCAGCGACGGCTCGACGGCGCCGCCCACGCCGCTCGCCGGGCCGGGGGCACCGCGCGCCCCCTCGCCGCCCGGCCCCCGCCCCCCCGCCGCCGCCAGCCGCCGCTCGTCGCCCGGGGCCGGCGCGGGGGGCGGGGCGCGGCGGGCCGGCGCCGGCTGATTGGCTGCGGGCTCGGGGCGCCGCGCCGCCATTGGGCCGCCGGGCTGTCTGGCGGAGGGCGCGGGCTGGGGAGGGGCGGCTGGAAGCTGCTGGGGAAGGCCGGGGGCGGGGCGCGCGGGCGCGGGCGGGGGCGCGAGCGGGCGCGGGGGCGGGCCCCGCCGGCCCCGCCCCGGCCCCGCCCCGGCCCCGCCCCGCGCTCCGACCGCGGGGCCAGGCGGGCGCGCCGGCCGCATCCCCATCCCGGCCGGCGGCGCGCAGCGGGGGCGCCGGCGCCATGGCCCCCTCCAGCACCACGGGCTCCACCCTGCTGCAGCCGCTCAGCGCCGCCGTGCGCCTGCCCATCGACCAGGTACCGCCGCCCGCGCCCCCCGCCTGCCCTCGCGCGGGGCCGGGCCGGGCCGGGCCGGGGGCCAGGGCCGCCCTGGACGCGGGGCCGCCCCCGGCCCGCGCCCCGCCGCGCCCCCCGCGCCCCCCGCCCCCGCCGCCGGGGCTCCGGCATCGACGGCCCGGCCGGCCCGGCCCGGCCCAGCGGCGTGCGCGCCCGGCGGCGGGCGCGGCCGGGAGGCGCCGGGCCCCGCCGGCCCCGCCCCGGCCCCTGCCCGGCGCGCGCCCCCTGCGCCCGGGCGGCCCGAGGGCCGGGGCGGGCGGTGGGCGGCGGGGCCGGGGCGGGGGCCGGGCCGGGCCGGGCGGCGGGGCGCGAGCGCGGCCGCGGGGCGGCAACAGTTGGGAGCGCGGCGGGAGGAGGCGGAGCTGGTGCCCCCCGCCCGGCCGGGCAGTGCCACCCGGCGCCGCGCGCCCCGGCTCGCCCCCGCGCCGGCGGTGCGCCCTGCGGGGCCGGGGGCCGCGGGGCGGGGGGGCCACGCCGGTTCTGCTCGGGAGGGAAAGTTTGGGAGTCCCGGCGCGCCGGGCGGGGGGGGGGGGCCCAACGGCCGTGCCCGCCCGGCGCCCCGAGCCGCCGCCGCGAGGCTGTCCGGGGTGCCCTGTCCGGGTGCCCGCGGAGGGTCCCCGCCGGGCCGCCCCGCCCCCGGGAGGTGTGCCGTCCGCTGCCGAGGCCTCTGTGACGCAGGGCTCCCCGTCCCCCCAGGTGCCCCAGGTGCCCCCAGGCCCCGCGACCGAGGCCGCCAGCGGGACCGTCCAGGACGCCGCGCTTGGCTGCCCGAGAAGCCCGCGCCCCGGGGCGCCACGGCGCGTGCCCCGCTCGGACCCGAATTCCTTTTTTAAAAAAAGATTTATTTATTTACGCAGCAGGAACCGGGCGCCTGAAGGCCTCGCCTGCCCTTTGCGCATAACTTCTGGCTCCCGGGCAGCTGCGAGGTGCCTGCCCGGCGGGGGACCCGGTGCCGGCTGCCCCGGCCTGATGCTGGAGGAGAATGGCCCCTCCGGCCAGGGATGCTTCCCCGTGAGGCGCTGTGTTACTCGCCGCGACTTGGGGTCCTCCCTCCCCTCAGCCGTGGCTGGTTCTCACTTTTCCGAGCTGCCGTCCAGGTAGACCTTCGAGTGGATCGCACCCCCGACTTCAGCAGGTTGCTGCCAGGGCGCAGCCAGGGAGGGCTGGTGTCTGTTCAGAGATTTTTTGCTGATGAGTAGCGAGGGGGAGCCTTACTGCACCTTTGCGTTGATTTTCGGGAGGCAGGTGTGTTGGTCTCTCCCCCCACCTGGCTGGACTATCTTCTTTCCTAGGCTGCTGCTGCCTTTTAGCTTATGTAAAGCTTGTAACTTTAAAGTGACAGACATCTCAGCCATCCGGAGGAAGTTCTTTTCAGAGCTGAAATAACCGGGCGGCAAGGCCAACTGACAGGACTTCGCATTTCCACCGTCCTCTGTTCCCCAGGCCCTGACATGTGCCTGGACAACCCCTTTCTCTTGGGGCAGCTGCCTTTGAACAGTCACCTGTGTCGTGTTTTGATTTGTTTGCTCTCCTGCAAGCCGTCTTCGGGGTGTTGACACCACAGGAGCCCTAACTTTTTTTAGTGATAATAAATTCTTTACTCAAGGCACCAAAAATATTGAATTTTTTTGTTGGTAAAGCTCTTGGAATAACCTTAAAAAAAAAACTCATATTGTAAAATTGGATGCATAAGTAGTCATTTAGCCATTATTTTAAAATTGAGCAGAATAGAAAGTAATTTTTGTAACCTAGAAATCGTTTCTGGTTGAAAGCCTGGGAATTGGTTGTAATCAAGTGGTGTGATTTAACAGGAGAAAGACGAATCCCGAAATGAAAAGTGTGAAAATATAACTTGTTATATGTGAATTTGGTCTGTGCTAATTAACAACGTTTTGGAAATTCAGGAAGTTAGAAAAGCGGTTGTTTGATGTCAGAGGAGGAGAAGGACCGTGGGGCTGGACAACCAGCTTCTCTGTCTTACGGGGTGTAGCGTGCAGGAGTGGGGAGGACTGGCAGGGAGGACGCGGCCGGCCTGGGGCAGAGGCGCGTGCTCTGGGGAGGCCAGCGAGGCGAGAGGCAGAAGATCTTCTTCCTTAGGGCTCCGGATTTCTTTCCTCAGAAATCCAGTGACCTTGTGGTAACCGTAGTATTTGTTCAGGAGACTTTAAATTGAGATAAAAATAGAAAATCTAGTATCCAGCGAGGTGAAGTATTGCTTTGAGGTAGGCGATAGCTGGCGTCTGGAGCTCCCCTCTGGGCCTCGTGCAGGGCCGCGGCGTCCGGGGAGCCGCGGAGGGGTGGAGGCTGGGTGGTGGTGGGAGGGCCTGGACACGGTCAGCGCCTGCAGAAGCCCTGACCCGGGCGTGCCGTCCAGTGCCCTCGGGTGGCCGAGACCCTGCTGTGTTCTTTGGTAGCTGCTGATGTGAATTTTTTAAAAGACCCCAAAGTGAGTTCCAAGTCAGAGAAAATACTAATTACCTGTCCCAGATCAACCTCTTTTTCTGTTTTGTTTCTACCTCATCTCCTCCTGCACTGGCTGTCATTTGCTTTCTCTAGGCGTTCTAAGAGGCTGCAGCTCCTGCCCAGCCCCCTTCTGTCTCCTGTCCCCCCTGAACCATTTTCTTATTTCCCACGATGCTGTGATGACCGTGAGGCTGGAGGTGCATTTCCCTGTGATGGGTGCCCAGGATGGCAACCTTGGCAGAGGGCCAGTTGGGGACGAGAGGTCTGTGCACGCACCAGCTGTCCTGAGCGTGGCCCCTGTCCTGTTGGGGGCAGGGGAGGGCCACGAGGGAGACCCAGGACATCTGAAAGGTTGGGAGGAGGGAGAAAAAACTGGGTGGGGGCCAGCCTGCAACCTGTTAGGTTACTAATCCTGCAAAGTCAGGTCGTAATTATAATGTAACACCTTCTAGTTCCACATCTCTTCCACATGCCTGGTATTATTTAATTGAATCCTTACAACAACTTATGTAGTCAGGAAAAATTCAAGGCCTGAAGTGTTTTTGCTGCTGATATATATGTGTGTGTGTTTCTCCATGTGTGTATGTGTGTGTGTGTATATATATATGTATATATATATGTTTTTTAAAGGATTTGAAGATTTATTTATTTATTTATACAAGCACTGGGTACAGTCAGAATCGCGGGAGGGTGAGAGAATCCACCGGAGCCAGAGCGGGGAGCAGAGCAGGCAGAAGGACCGAAGCACACTGCTGAGGGGAGCAGCGGGCGGCAGGAGAGGTCTGCGCGCCATGCAGGACCCTCCTCCGGTGGCCGGGGAGCAGCCGGGGATCGAGCCGGCGCTGCAGAGGCTGCGGGCAGCTTCGAAACCCAGCGCTAAACCTGCTGCGCCACCGGGGAGGCCCTATATATATACATATATATATAAAGGGTTTATATATGCATACAAGAACTGGGGTGTAGGCCAGAGTTGCCGGGCGGGGTGGGGGGGAGTGTGTGTGAGAGGATTCACCAGAGACAGAGTGGGTTGCAGAACAGGCAGACTGACTGAAACACACTGCTGAGGGGAGCAGCGGGGAGACAGGAGAGGTCTGCTGCGCCATGTGGGTCAGCTCCTGGGCTGGGGACCAACTCAGGCTGCAGTGGCTGCCGATAGCTTGATAGCGCCGAGACTGTCACCCCTGTGCCACCAGGGAGGCCTTTTTTCATGTATATTTTGAAGTATAATATGAATAAAGTAAAAATGTATTTTATATATGGTATTAAGCACTTGAATAAAAGGTCAGCTTTAATCTATGATTTAACATGGCAAATACTTTCTGTAGATCGTCATTTAGATCTGGTTTGCCAGTAGTTTTTGGAGAGAAGAGAGAATGGCTTCGCCAGTCACTGAAGTGCTGGTGGGAATGGTTGGGATGGGGAAAACCGTGTGTTGTGTGTTGGAGAAAGCAGTGTGGAAGCTTCTAGAATCCTTGTTTTCTTTTGGGCCCATTTGTTGATTGACCCTCCCAGTGCCCCCCCCTGCTCCCCACCATGCAGACAACCAACCAAGGGCATTGTGGGGGGAGGGGCTGTTGAAAGCCAGAGCTGCTTTAATCCTCCTCCAGTTCCTTTTGCTGCTGAGCCCCATTTTACAGGGGGGGAGTGAGGGGGCCCTCTGAGAAAATGACGTAGGAGGAGCAGGTGGACGGCCACCAGATAGGCACATCAGGCATTTGTTTTCTGTTAAGTGGCATTGAGTGCGGGAGGGGTGGGACCTCAGTATATGGATGTGGAACCCCGTTTCGTCCCTGTCTCTTTACACCCAGGGTGAGCATAAGTCCTCATAGTGAGAGCCCCGAGAGCTGGGCCCCCCTGCTGGAGAGACTCCTTCTAAGAAGGAAGGCACGTGGGACGGGACATCTTGAGTCTGTATTTTAGACCTGTCAGTCAGCTAATTTTGGACACGTCACTTTACAGAAATGGGTGCCCTCCCGTGATAAACGTGCGTTGTGCTCAGTTTTAAAATTCCACAGTTCCGTGTTTCATTAACTGAAGAAGCCGCCCTCAATTCTCGGTTGGAGAGAACTAAGTGAACCCTCCGGGGAGGAAAGCAGACCAGTACGTTTCGAAGAAGTTGTCAACAGTGAGAGCAGAAACCATCCTTCTGCTTAATCAGAAGCAGCAGACAACACCCCTGGTGTGCTGGGGCTGCAGTGGGGGGCTATGTACCCCGCTTCCCTCGCCGTGGGGTTTGCATGGGAGCAGGGACGGGCTCGGGTTTCTGACCTGTCCCTGGGGCTCTTGGGCAAGTTACTGGATTTTTCTTTAAGCCCCAGTTTCCTCATCCGTGAAATGAAGGGAATGATAAGCGGCGCCTCCTGTGGGGGGCTCAGGGCCCCGCGGGAGGTGCTGACCCTGTGCACGTGGGACGTGGCCCCGTCTTTACACATTGTGAGCTCCTGCTGGACGGGGTTTCCGTCTGCGTGGCTGACATCTGTTCATCTGCCCTCCATGTCTAATCTGGAGCACGGCCCTTCAGGAGGGGACGTGTGCCGCTAGGGCTCGGTCATGTGATTAAAGTCGGATTAACGTTGAGTTTTGACTTTGGAGTCCTAAAGTGGTTTTTCTGCTTCCTGGCTGCTCCAGGAGTTCTTTGTCCCGCTTTAATGCTCCGGTGTTCTGACTGCCCCGCAAGCACAAGGAGCGCCATCTCTGTTGGCGTTGATTTTCAGGATGACTTTCCTGGAAATCATCAAAACCACAGGCAACAGGGGAGCAGGTGGGCCTGCCCGACGTCTGCGAGTGCGGCAGGTGCCTGGCCCTGGGCGGGCGCTTGGGCTGAGCTTTCCAGTGACCTGGTAGGTGCTTGTGTGGGGGTGTGGGGTGTGGGGGGAGCTGCTGTCTGAAGAGACAGGATGAGGGGTGGGGCGTGGGGCAGGCCTTAGCCAGGTGCCCTTCCTTCTGCGCTCGTCCATCCTGGCCTTCCCAGGCCCGCCTCTTGCGTGTTCATCTTTTTTCAACTCCCATCTGATGTGGCTGTTTTCTTATTTGTACCACAGAAGCGTTTGGGATTTGGCTCTGTTCTGGCATTTGTATTTCGCTTACTGTTACGGGTATCAGGCAGGGTTCTGGTGGGAGATGGAGTGAAGTAGGTAACCAGGGAGGCTTTAGGTGATTTACTAAGATCGGGGCAGGTTTGTGGGCATCAATGAGGGATGATACTGCCCCTGGCGCCTGCGCCGCTGGGACTGGAGGGGCAGAGGGGATGGGAGCAGAGCCCCGCGGGGGACCAGGCCGCAGGGGCCCCTCATTCTGCTGCCTGAGGGACACGCCAGCTGTGGGCAGCCCCGCGTGCTCGCCCCGTCATCTCTCTTCCATGCCTGCATTTTGAAAGGGTTCTTTGTTTCATCAGATGTGGAAATGAAAATGGGGTGTAGCTTTTAAGTGTTTGCCTGAAACACTTAAAACAGTTAACGTGTCTCCTCCTTGGCAGGATGCAGTGCGGCTGCACCCTGGGCCTGTGACCTGGATCTGGAGAGTGACCCGCCACGTGCCCTGGCGGTCCTGGTGGGGAGCCAGTCTTGGCCTCGCCCGGCCTCAGGCACACAGGTACCTCTTGCCGGGGAGACAGGCGACCCCCACGGTGTGGCAG